TGGATCCCCTCATGTGTGTGTGTGTGTGCCACGTGCTACCGTGTGCGGACTGCGTGCTGCGAGCTGCGAGCTATGGGCGAGCTGGAAGCTGGAAGTTTGTTGTGTTTTGTTTTTTTTCAAGTGCGGAGACGCGGAGACCACCGCGCAAGTGAAAAAATGTTCGAAAAGGGTAGGTAGGTACGTAGGACTCCCCACAACATTGAATTTATGGGGGGGGGAGGGGGGTGGCCCATTGAAATCGGACATTGGCCGTGGCCGATTTGGAATCGGCCGTAGCCGACTAGGAATCGGCCGTAGCCGACTGACATTCGGCTATCCCCTGGCCAAAATCGGCTGCTTTGTTTGCAAAAGCGGCCCTTTGTAAAGTCGGCCGTGTTTTATTGCGGCCGTTTTCCGGCCGAAATTTTCAGAAATCGGCTCTTTCGGCCGCGGCCGATGGAGGACAGGCCTACGTCTCGTGTCAAAATTCTGGTCTCGTGTCAAAACTTCACGTGCAAAATTTCGTGCTCGTGTCAAAATTCCTGACACACGTGGGACCCATGTAAGTCATCAGAGAGTTGGCCTGGGTTCGTCGTCCACCGAAAACGAAAATTCTTCACCGACAAAATGTGGACCCTAGAGAGACTCACATCTGGGCCCTCTCCTATTCACAGTTTTTGTTTCTCATAGCGTAGCTTCCCCATGAGCAAGCGATTCACCAATAGTCTAAGTGTGGACAATTGCGATAACTGCTGGACAAGAAATTCGGATGGCTTTACATGCGTCGTCTCCAACAACATGCGTCGTCTCCAACAACCCCGCTCAGTTGTTGAGATCTGTAGCGACTGCCGGATGGACAGGACCGTATATCTTCTCATCGACAGCCAACGACTGAGCGTGTGCAAAGGCTCGGCCTGCTCGTACTTGCCCTGGAATGAGTGTGATGGCACATGAAAAACGAATTTGTTTGGTGACGCCGTATGTGCGAAGGAGCGCCAGTCAACAAACCCGCCCGGTCGTTTCAGCCGTTCTACCAGAAGTGCGTGGTCCTGGCCCAACGTTTATTCCAATCTCAACAAAGGTAGCTTGATACAGAAGGTCCACCTCAGTATAATTGGCCGTGGAAGCGGAGGGCGAAGAATGAAGGGCGTATAAACCAAGGAGGAGAGGACAGCACGCTGCGGACGAACAAACGCTGCTCAACAACCCGGTTGCTGGGCTGTGTTGCAAGACTTAGGTGGTCGGGGCCAAGCAAACTCTAACGCAGCAACAAAAGCTCGTAGAGAATGATGCGCCCCTTTCAACTGCCCTGTGCCACAAGCAAATGTTACAGTCGACCACGCTTTGAGGACTCTCGCGTTAATCAAGCCTATCGCTGCCGCTACATGAACAGCAGCGGCACAACTAGGACAACAGACAAAGACACGATACTCTGCGTCTTGCTACCATGGCTGACTACGGTACCTCCAACCGTCGTCGCCAACCCTGACACCGAACGCCTATCCTCCGTGTCGGCGTAGCTAGCGTCTACGTACACGGCCAGCCCTAACCCCGATCCCCGTTGGTAGGTGATGCCGAGGTCCCTCGTCCCTTTCAGGTAGCCGAGGATCTTCTGTATGGCATCCCAGTGCCGCTTCGCCGGGGCGTGGGCGTGGCGCGCTACCGCACGCACGGCGAACGAGACGTCTGGACGCGA